CCCTGTGCTGCTGCCTGGGCTCAGCCCTGGGCAGCTCCGGGTTCCTGCCACCCGGGCACCCCATCACTGCTCTCTGCCTTCCAGCTCCTGGACTATCTGGATGGGAGAAAGTGTCACGACAGGGTCATGCCAATCCTATCAAGGCACCTGCAGAGCCAGTGTCCAGACAGGCGTCGCCTGGCACTCAGAGGCCTCCTGGTTCTCAGTGTGGATCCCTCAATGGTGAGAAGGGGACACCTGGCTGAAGCCACACTGGCAGCCTGGGGCTGGGGAACGCAGGCGCTTGAGCTTGGCTGGGCTTTAGGAGCTGGGGCAGCTGCTCCCAGCTCTCCTGCCTCCCTGTGCAGCTGCCCAGGCCCTGTGGGACAGGCCTTTGGCTTCTGGGCCCTGTGGCAGCAGCGTGGAGTTGCACCCGCAGAGAGAGCTGTTGGTGGGGCAGGTGTTCAGGGCTTGACAGCACAACACTGTGTTCCACACAGGCCGAAAGCATCTGCAGCCTGGCTGAAAGCCTCCTGGAGCTGCTGCATCATCAAGATGGAGAACTGGTCGGAATGACCCTCTCGGTGTTCCTGAATGTGCTCCGGGATGAAGACCTTCAGGCATTCAGCTCCGCTGCCCCAAAGCTGGCTGAGGCACTCCGGCCGCTCTTTGACAACGTAAGGCTCTGGTGCTGCCAGGAAAATTTTTGGCCTGTGGAGTTTCAGGCCTCTGCCTCTTGGGCCTGGAGCAACCAATGGTGACGTCTTTTTGTCTTCTTCTACGCCAGGACAACAGCCACGTGCAGCTGCTCTCCCTTCGTCTCTTCCAAGAAATGATGGAGTTTCTGGCAGAAGAGGGACAAAAGACATTTGTACAACAGAGCCTTGTGCCGCTGTTCTTCCGCTGCCATGACGAGAACCAGTGCGTGGCAGAGGTGAGCACTTGTGGTCTCTGGTGTCCCCGTGGCAGGGGGCTCGGCTGCCTCTTGTCCTGGTGCCTGGCAGACTCCAGCCTCTTCCTGGCCTTGGCCCAGGGATGCAGGTGCTGTACCCTGGGCTGTGGTGCCATGTCCTTGTCTCTGCTGCTCTGCAGGCCTCTCGGGAAACACTCCTTTGTGCAGCAAGTTTCCTGAAGAGAAGGGATCTTGAGCAGCTGCTGAGGAAACAGCAGCCCTTGGAGTTCTGCGATTGCCTGGTAAGGACCACCCCAAAGACCCAGCCCCAGGCTGGACAAGCCCCCAGCCCAGATGCCCAGTGTGTGGGGCTGGCCCTGTGCCCCTGCCCACTGCTGCACCCAGATGTGGGACACCAGCCTGTGCCCCACACGCTGCTCCCTTCCCTTGGCCATGTGGACTCTTCTCCAGGCTCTGCTGCCCCTGAGCCAGGGGGCTGCTGGAGCCCCAGCCCAGCTGGGCTGTGGGGCAGGGTGGCCTCGTGGCTCCCTGGGAGCACCCAGCCCTCTGCTCCCTCCAAATCCGGCCCCAGCAGCTGCTGCCCGGGCCTCCGGGCTGTGCGGGCAGGGCAGGCCATTGCTGGGCAGAGGCAGCGCCCGGCCAAGGGACAGAGCTTCAGCCAACCCTTCCCTCTGTGCCCTGCTGCTCTCTCCAGATGGACAAGGACGTCAGCCGAAGGGACGAGTACCTGCACCAGGCCCTGCCCTACCTGCAGAGCCCACAGCAACCCCTGCGAGAGTTGGCCATCAGGTTCATGGGTGAGCTACAAACCCGCGGTCCCTCCCCTCCCGCTGCAGCTCGGCCCCAACCCCGGCTGCTGCCGCCCTCTGCTCCCTTGGGTGTCCCGATGAGAGAAGGCCAGGAGGCTGTGTGGCCAGGAGGCCGTGTGGCCGGGCTGGCAGCGCCTCTGGGGTGGAGCTGAACTGCTGGGGCCCTGACACGCTCTCTGTTCCCAGGGATCGCCGGCTGGCACATGAAAGACCTGCAGCCCATCATGAAGGGTGAGTGAGGACAGCGGGCTCTCACTGGGGGCTGGTGGGGAGGAGCACAGACCCTGGGCATGGAGCTGCAATCCCTGCCCCGCCTGCGCGGGGCTCTGCTCCCTGCATGGACGAGTTGCGCTGTGGGCAGAGCAGGGACACATTTCAGGGACACAGGGGCACTAAGGGCCAGCACCTTCCTGCTCATCCTGCTGGCCCCTTCTCCCTCCTGGCCATGGCAAGAGCTGGCTGGGATGGCCTTGCAGGAGGGGCTCCTCGAGTCCCCGCAGATCCGGGCTCTGACCTTGGCTCCGTTGCTCTCTCTTCCAGCCCTTGAAGTCATGACTGAGGATGACTGCCCATCCTACTCCACCATGCGGACTGCAGTCTTGTCCGCTTTTCGACGGGCAGTAACAAAGTAATCCTCTCCACCCACACATCCAGCGTCCCTCCAACAGCACCGAACGGCCAAGGGACGAGACAACTTCTCAGCGCAGATGGAGCTGCAGCTGATGCCGGGCCCAGCTGAGCCAGCCGGCAAGGCTAGAATCACAGAATCATAGGCTTAGCCAGGTTGGAAGGGACCTCTGAGATCATCAAGTCCAACCCTTGATCCACTACTGCCATGGTTACTAGACCATGTGTCGTGGGTTTACTCTGGCCGGATTCAAACCCTCCCAAAAATTGCTAAAGCTTGAGAGAGGTTCACACAGGCAAGATAGACTCAACATGAGGCTAATATCCAAATTTATTGCTAACGAGATAAAAACTAACAAGTAAGAAAGTACACAGTATTAAATACACTTTTTAACCACCCCTTGGCCCCCTGCATCAATGCAGGAGGAGAACTCTCAGGGCCATAGCTAAAGTCTCTCTTCATGGGAGTGCGGGGGGTCTCTGCACCCCCCATGGTCCTTCATGGGCTGCAGGGGGACAACCCGCTCCACCATGATCTTCTCCACAGATTACAGGGAGTTAAAGCTCTGAGTCTTTTCCCTGCTCTGTGGGGTCCCTCCCAGGGGAGCAAGCTCTCAGGGGACCCCCCCAAGTCAGATCCACACCTCCCCCCGGGGTGGGAGCCGGTCCGCTCCACTCTGTGCGCTGCTGCCACTCCGGGCCAGCTCTGGGCCACTCCGGGCCCGCTCCACTCCCTGCCACACGCTGCTGCTGCTCCAAGCACCGCGGGACCTGTTCTCTGGCTGCTGCTGCCCCTCCGCAGGTTCCTCTCTGCTCCGGGACAGCAGCTGCCACAGACCAAGGGTCATGGCCACCACCCCATCCCGTCCCGGGCCAGGGCCGAGGGGGACCCGGCCCCCCAAGCTCAGCGGCTCCCTCTTCACTGGCCTGGCTCCAATTTCTACTGCACAATAAGCTTCTCTTCCGGCCTTTCAATATGTAATTCCCAGAGGCATTGCTAAAGTTTTCGATTGCTTCTTCTCCCGGTCAGAACCAGAAAGTCCACCCCTGTGGAACCAACCACCTTCAGTTCCAGGGGGAAAGGATTAGTAAACCCACGACACCATGGCACTAAGTGCCACATCCAGTCTTATCTTAAAAACCCCCAGGGACAGAGAATCCACCACTTCCCTAGGCAGCCCATTCCAATGCCCC